GTTCACTGCTCTGTTCATTTTCTGAAAAGTTCTAGTCTTCTAAAAATTATTATTGTTACTCTTATTATCCTCACCCAAGGATATGTTTATTGATTTTTAGAGAGAAGGGAAAGGAGAGAGAGAGAAATAAACATTGATGAGAGAAACATTGACCAGTTGGCTCCTCCATGTTCCCTGACCAGAGATTGAACCCACATCCTAGTTAAGTGCCTTGACCAGGAACCAAACTTTTTGTTGTATGAGAGGACACTCCAATCAACTGAGCCACCTGGCCATGGCTCAGTCTTTTTTTTTTCTTTAAGTATTTTCATTTGATATGTTTATAATTACTCTTAGAAATACAATATTTATTTTCTTATTTTTAAATCTGAGTTGGCATTCAATATTATTTTCAGGTTAATTTCAGGTGCACAACACAGTGATTAGACATTTATATAATTTACTAAGTGATCCCCCTAATAATTCTAATAATTCTAGTACCTATCTGACACCATACCTAGTTATTGCAATATTATTAATTACATTCTCTATGCTGTACTTTACATCCCCATGACTATTTTGTAGCTACCAATTTGTATATCTTAATCCCTTTACCATTTTCACCCAGCTCTCCAGCCCTCCTCCCATCTTGGCAACCATCAGTTTTTTCTCTGTGTCTCTGAGTCTGTTTCTGTGAACAGTTTTCAGTCTTGATGAGAAATAAATTAGTCTTCATTTCAATGAGGCAACACATGTACTGGTATGAGTCATTGATGAGTGTGATCTAGTTCCTGTGTCCAGGGAAGATGCTGTATGCCCCATATTTTATTCCAGCAGTTAGCTGGTTGGCTGGGTGAGGAAGCCTAGGGAATGGTGGGGTTTGGATTGTTTTTCCTATTGATTATCAAGATGACCTGTTAAGTGTAAGAACTGTGCTAATAAATATCTATCCAAATGCTGTCATTTTTTAAATAGATTTATTGAATGACTACTCCTATTTACTTATTACTAGGGGCCCGGTGCACAAATTCGTGCACAGATGGGTCTGGCCAACCTGCCCCAATCAAGGCCAATTGGGCCGGGCTGGCATGGGTAGTTGGCCGGCCCGCCCCACCCCCTGGTCGAACTCCCAGTTGAACTCCCAAACTCCTGGTCAAGGGGACAATTTGCATATTAGCCTTTTATTATATAGGATGTCTATATTCCACAACCAATACAGAGACATATACACACATACATGTGCATGCGCATGCACACACACACACACACACTCCATTCTTCTTCCTCTGAATCATTGTTTAATTGGCATCTCTTTAGTTGGTGAGTCAGTAGATCAGGGGAGAAAGGATATCCCAGGGGAAGGGACAACATAATCAGAAATCTAAGTGTGGAAATGTGCAAAGTTATAAACTCTATAATGTTAAGAATAGCCTCATGGTGTTTAAGTGGTTAAAGCCTGGCCTGAGGAGTCATTGGTGTAACACGGATTTGTCATTCCAGGCTTTGAAAATGGCTCATGCGGGTATTTCCTTGTCAGAGCAGGAGGCATCTGTAGCCTCACCTTTCACCTCAAAAACAGCCAACATCGAGTGTGTGCCTCATCTCATCAAGTAAGCCACTTCTTCCTTTTGAACCCCCATGACTGATGGGCTCAGAGTCTGGCTCTAGGCAGAATTCAACTATAACTTAGTGATAATTGTCACAAGAGACATATGGGTAAAGTGCTATTGGAGTACCAAGCAAGGGAGCCGTTAGTGCTGCTTGAGAATGCTGGTAAAAGCCACAAAAAGGTGACTTTGGCTGAGCCTTAAAGGATAAATGGCTGTGTCATGTGGAGAGCTGAAAGCTAGAGTTGGTATTTAAAAAGTAATTGCTTTTCTTATTTCTCCTTTCCTTTATGTTGTACATTGGGAGCTTACTGGAACCTTTCTCTCAGCAGTTGACAGGGTGAGGAAGCAGACAGGGAATATTCCATCAGATAGCTTCCCCAAATAGTGTTATGTCCCCCCCAAAAAAATTAGTGAACATCCAAAATGATATTATAAAATACTTTTACAATTGATTGGCAATAGTTAGGGAGGGGAAGGAATGAAAAATGGTTTATTTTCCCTTGCCTCCGTTCATTTCCGATGTCTTTACTCATATTTTAAATGTAGTTAAGAATAATACAATAGGTTCTGTATTTGTACATAAGTCTTATTCTTCTGTTGCGGGGTAACTTTAGGTAACTTTCAGATCAATAGCCTTGAAGACATCATCAAATCTTGAGATATGCCCCAGGAAGTTCTCTGCCCTGTCCCTTGGTGCATCTGAATAGGCAGCTGCTGGCAGGAATCACTCACCTAAAGACTCCAGGCTAGAAATTCCATGCCCCTGTCAGGAAAACAGCTAGAAACTGGGTTGCTGCCACTGTGTCCTTCCACAGTCTCAAACATCATCTTCCCCTGCCTCCTCTTCCTAACTCCCAGGTTCCCTGCTTCTGCGGACAATTTGGTTCTTAGAGTCCCTCATCCAGGCTCAGAAGCTCAGAGTTCCTTCTACTCTTTCTTCTTCTTCACTCCTAGCCAACCTGACATCATGTTTCACTGCTTTTGGAGACTCTCTCCAAGCCTTTTTCTTGCTACCTCTAGTGCCTCACTCACTCATGTCATGGCAACTACAAAACGAGAATGCTCAGGACCGTTGCCCTCATTCATGCTTTCCATCCTCAACACAGCTCCTGGAGCTCTTTTTAAATATTGTGTTTGGAAATATGTGGGATTAAGAATGAGACAAAACCTTGCCCTGGAGGACTTACATCCCAGTGAAGAATATAGATAGATGGAGATATCATCACAAAACAGAGGAACTTCTGCATGATAAGTGAGAGGTGCTCAAATAAATTAGTTTTAAATAAGTTAACATCCAACAATACAGTAACTTTCCTAGCAGTTTAGTATGATAGCTCTAGCCAGAGGGAAGGCATCAGCAGGAGGGCTGCAACTTAAAGGATGGACAGGATATCTGTGAACAGAAAGTAGCTGGGAGGGGATTCCAGGTGGGGGAACGGAGAGCCATATTTAGGAATAGGGTTTTAATTGGAGAGTTCAGGGCCCCAATAGTCCAATGGTGCTGTGAGGATTCTCATGTGGGACTTGTGGAGGTGAAGCTGGAGCACCAGGTGAGGAGACCTTGCATAGGGAGTTGAAACTCCAGGATGCTTGCACAAGGTGCCTGGTTGGTCCACCAAAAGGCAGTGGTATTTGAACTTCAGGTGTCCTTTCTTACATGTGGCCTGATGCATTTATGAATGCAATATACTGTTTTAAATTACAAGTCAGGATGCATGACTTCTCTAGTGGCAGATGGCTTAGTAAGACTTCAGGGTAGAAACTCTTTGCTTCTATATTTCATAGATTTATAAAAATTAGATGTGGTTCAGCTCTGTTAGGCTCATTGTACCCTCGCTCTCCTTGATGCATGCTTATTCCGGAGCAAACATCCTCTAGAGCAGTGGCCGGCAAACTGCGGCTCGGCAAACAGCGGCTTGCGAGCCACATGCGGCTCTTTGGCCCCTTCAGTGTGGATTTTCCACAAAATACCGGCTCTTCCACAAAGTACCGACTTCTGCGCATGGGCCACGAAGTTTCCATTGCATTGTT